GTTGTCTCTTACTCTGTGGGTGGTTTCTTCTGCAGTGCAGAAGCTTTTTAATAAGATGAGATCCCAGGTGATTCTTTGCGCTAGTTCCTGTGCTACTGAGGATTTGTTCAATGCCAATGCCAATGTCTTTGAGAGTTCTACCTAACTTATCTTCCAGCAAGTTTAGTGTTTCTATTTTAATATTTAGATCTTTAGTACACTTGGATTTTAGTTCAGTGCATGATGAAAGATAAGGGTCTGGTTGTAATCTTTGGCAGGTTGAAATCCAGTTTTTCCAACAAAATTTATTAAAAAGGCTATCTTTCCTCTATTGAGGATGGATGACTCCTTTGTCAAAGATGAGATAGCTGAGTACATCTGGAGTTGTTTCTGTATCTTCCAAAGTATTCCAATGATCCTCAGGTCTTTTTTTTTTTTTTTTTTGCCAGTACCATGCTGTTTTTATCACAGTGGCTTTGTAGTACAATTTTTTCAAATTGGGGATTGTGATACCCCTGTCATGTCTGTGTTACCTAGAATTGCTTTTGCTATTCTATATCTCTTCTGGTTCTAAATGAATTTTTGTATTGTTTTCTCTAGTTCTGCGAAATATACTGTTGGAGTTTCAATTGGGATTGCACTGAATCTGTATAGCAGTTTTGGAAGTATGGCTATTTTTACTATGTTGATAATTCCTACCCAGGAACAGGGGATATCTTTCCATTTTCCTATATCCTCTTCAATCTCTTTTTTCAGAGTGCTGTAGTTTTCAGTGTAGAGGACTTTTGCTTCCTTTGTTAGATTGATTCCTAGATACTTCATTTTTGGGGATGCTATTGTGAAAGGAATTGTTTACCTACATTCTCTCTCAGTGAATCTGTTATTTGTGTACAGGAAGGCTATTGGTTTTTGATTGTTGACCTTTTATCCAGCTACTCTAATGAATCTGTCAATGACATCTAGGAGTCTTTTGGCAGAGTTTTTTAGGTCTTCAATGTAAAGTATCATATCATCAGTAAATAATGACAATTTAACTTCTTCCTTTCATATCTTTATTGCTTTTATTTATTTATCCTGTCTAATTGCTGTGGCTAATGCTTCCAGAACTATTTTGAACAGGAGTGGTGATGGTGGACATCCTTGTCTTGTTCCTGATTTTAGCATGAAGCTTTTCAGTTTTTGGCCACTTAATATGATGTTGACTGTGTTTTTTTTTCTTTTTATTGAGTTTATTGGTACGTTCTAGGCATACAGTACAGTTACATTCATTACTGGGATCTTGTACCTTTATGTGACAGGTCTTAGTTCTCATTTTTTCCCCTTGTCCCTGCCTTCCCTTCACCCCCTCCTTCCCTCCCTATTTACAAAACAATTTATTTCCATTTTTTCATTTTCTCATATTTTTTTCTTTTCCCTTATAACTTTTCCCTTACCCTTCCCACTTTTCTACACCTTTAGCCCTTTTCTTCCTATTTCACACTGTTAATTATATCATTAGGATCATGTGTACTATTATAGTTTTTCACACCAGAGAAACTATTTGGCATTTATACATGTGTGACTTATTTATTTCACTTAGGAGTATATCCTCAAAATGTATCCATTTTCCTATGAATGAATCTACTTTCTCATTCTTTATGGCTGAGTAGTATTCCATTTTATAGAAAAACCACATCTTCTTTATCCAGTTTCCAACTGATGGGTAAATGGGCTGTTTCTATGTTTTAGCTATTACAAATTGTGCCGCTATAAACATAGGTGCACAAATGTCACTGTGATATGATTCTTTTAATTCTTTTCAAAAGATACCAAGCAGAAGGGATGGTTGGGTCAAGTGGAACCTCTAGTTCCAGCTCTTTAAGGTTTGTCCATGTTGATTTCCATAGTGGTTGCACCAGTCTGCACTCCCATCAACAATGGAGAAGGGTTCCTTTCTCCCCACAAACCCCCAACATTTGTTATTGTGTGATTTCTTGATAGCAGCCATTCCTTGTGGGGTGAGGTGAAATCTCAGTGTTGTTTTCATCTGCATCTCTCGAGTGGCCAGTGATGTGGAGCATTATTTCATATATTTACTTGCTGCTTTTACTTCTTTGTCTGAGAAATGTCTTTTCATTTCAGATGCCTATTTTTTTTCAGCTTTAATTGAGTTTATTGGTATATATAGTCCTTTGTCTGAGGATCAGCTGGTAAAAATTTTTCCGCATTGTAGGTTGTCTCTTAGTTCTGTTGATGGTTTCTTTTGCAGCGCAGCTTTTTAATAAAATGAGATCCCACTTGTTGATTCTTTCTGCTAGTTCTCGTGCTACTGAGAATTTGTTCATAAAGTGTTTTCCTATGCCAATGTCTTCCAGAGTTCTGCCTAACTTATCTTCCAGCAAGTTTAGTGTTTCTGTTTTAATATTTAGATCTTTAATCCACTTGGATTTTAATTTAGTGCATGGCAAAAGTTAAGGGTCTAGTTTTAATCTTTGGCAGGTTGAGATCCAGTTTTTCCAATACCATTTATTAAAGAAGCTCTCTTTCCTCCAGTGGGGATGGTCAGCTCTTTTGTCAAAGATGAGGTAGGTGGGTACCTCTGGAGTTGTTTTTGTGTCTTCAGTCTGTTCCGCTGATCCTCAGGTCTATTTCTTTGCCAGTACCATGCTGTTTTTATCAAAGTGGTTTTGTAGTATAGTTTCAAATTGGGAATTGTTATACTCACTGCCATGTGTCTGTTGCCTAATATGGCTTTTGATATTCTAAGTCTCATATGATTCCAAATGAATTTTTGGATTATTTTTTGTAATTCTGTGAAATACAGTGTTAGAATTTCAATTGGCATTGCATTGACTCTGTATAGCAGTTTTGGTAGTATGACCATTTTGGTAGTATGTTGATTCTTCCTATCCAGAAGCAGGAGATATCTTTCCATTCTTATATCATTCTTATACCATTCTTATATCCTCTTCGATCTCTTTTTTCGGAGTGCTGTAGTTTTCAGTGTAGAGGACTTTTGCTACTTTTGTTAGGTTGATTCCTAGATAGTTCATTTTTTGGGATGCTATTGTGAAATTAATTGTTTCCCTAATTTCTTTCTCAGTGAGTCTATTATTTGTGTACAAGAAGGCTATTCATTTTTGAGTGTTGACCTTGTATCCTGCTACTCTCCTAAAAGTCTCAATTAAGTCTAGAAGTCTTTTGGTGGTGTTTTTTGGGTCTTCAATGTAGAGTATCATATCAGCAGCAAATAATGACAGTTAACTTCTTCCTTTCCTATCTTTATTGCTTTAATTTCTTTCTCTTGTCTAAATGCTATGGCTAATGTTTCCAGAAGTATATTGAAGAGGAGTAATGATAGTCGGCATCCTTGTCTTGTTCCTGATTTTAGTGTGAGGGTTTTCAATTTTTGGCCAGTTAATATGATGTTGGCTGTTGGGTTTTCATAGATAGCCTTTATTAAGTTGAGATAGAGACCATCTATTCCAATTTTGTGGAGGGTTTTTTTATCATGAATGGGTGTTGAATGCTTTTTCTGCATGTATTGAGAGGACTATGTGGTTTTTGTTCTTGACTTTGTTAATATAGTGCATTACATTTATTGACTTAAGTAGGTTGAACTATCCTTGCATTACTGGAATAAATCCGACTTGGTCAGGATGTATGATCTTCTTGATGATCCTCTGTATTCTGTTTGCTAGTATCTTATTAAGGATTTTTGCATCTATATTCATTAAGGAGATGGCCTGTAGTTCTCTTTTTTAGTTGCATCTTTCCCTGGTTTGAGAATCAAAATGATAGTTGCTCCCATGAATGAATTTGGAAGTATTGCTTCCCTTTCAATTTCATTGAAAAGTTTGAAGAGTTGTGGCAGTACTTCTTCTCTAAATGTCCTGTAAAATTCAGCAGTGAGTCCATCAGGACCTGGGCTTTTCTTTGTTGATAAGTTTTTAATTAAATTTTCAATTTCACTGATTGTAATTTGGGTGTTTAAAATGTTTTTATCTTCTTTGTTCAACTTTGGTAATTCATAAGTATCTAGAAATCTGTCCATTTCTTCTGTGTTTTCCTTTTTATTGGAGTACAGGTTATCAAAGTAGGTATTAATGATCCTTTGGATTTCTGTAGGATCTGTTGTGACTTTGCTTTTTTCATTCCTGATTGCATGGATCTGAGCCTTTTTTTTCCTTTTTTTTGATAAGGTTTGCTAAGGGTTTATCAATTTTATTTATTCTTTCAAAAAAACCAACTCTTCAATTCATTTATTTTTTTGTCTTAGTCCTTTGCGTTGATTTCTGCTCTAATTTTGTAATTTCCTCTCTTCTGTGAGCTTTGGGTTTTTCTTGCTCTTGTTTTTGTAGGAGTCTAAGATTCATCATTAGGTTGTTTATTGAGCTCACTCAGTTTTCCTAGTGTGGGCATTCAGTGTTATGAATTTTCCATGTAGAACTGCTTTCATTGTGTCCCATAGATTCCTGTACTGGCATTTTCATTTATTTGTAAAAACTGTCTGATTTCTTCTTTAATTTCCTCTGTGATCCATTGATTTTTCTGGTGAGTGTTGTTCAACTGTTGGTTTTTCATAGATAACCTTTATCAAATTGAGATAGAGACCTTTTAGTCTGATTTTCTGCAGTTTTATAGTGAATGGGTGTTAAATTTTGTCAAATGCCTTTCTATATCTATTGAGATTATCATATAATTTTTGTCTTTGACTCTGTTAATACAGTGTATTATGTTTATTGATTTATATGTGTTGAATTTGGCTAGGGATTTAGCTCAGTGGTTACGCTGCCTGCCTTGCAAGTGCAAGGACCCAAGTTTGATTCCTGGTACCAAAAACAAAAAACAAAAAACAATATATATCATATATAGAACCATCCTGTATTCCTGGAATAAATCCAACTTGGTTTTGGTATTGTATGATCTTGATGACACTCTGTATTCTCTTTTTCAGTATCTTCTTGAGAATTTTTGCATCTATGTTCATTATGAAGATTGGCCCATAGTTCTTTCTTTCTCTCTCTCTTTTTTAAACAGAAGCCACTCACACTGCATTCCTTCCCCCTTGCTCCCTCCAGAGACAGAGCAAGAACAATCATCAATGGCAAGTGGCAGTTGCAGCAAAGCAACACCAAGAGCTGGTTTGAAGCTCAGGAAGGAATGCTATGCCTCCTCCTCATAGTTTCTGGTACTCTACACAATCATAGAAACTTCTGTAGTAACCAACTTTAGAATTGATCCCTGAAAGTATGGCCCTTTGTAGTTCTTTTTTTTTTTTTTTTTGGTTGGGTGTTTCCCTGGTTTTGAAATCAAAGTAACACTTGCTTTCAGCAATGAATTTGGAAGTATTACTTCCCTTTCAATTTCATTGAAAAGTTTAAAGAGTAGTGACAATAGTTCTTTTTCTAAATGTTTTGTAGAATTGAGCAGTGAAGCCCTCAGGACCTGGGCTTTTCTTTGTTGGTAAATTTTTTATTAATTTCAATTTCACTGATTTTAATTGGAGTGTTTAGAATTTTTTTATATGTTCTTCATTCAACTTTGGAAATTCATATATATTTAGAAATCTGTCCATTTCTTCTGTGTTTTCCATTTTATTAGAGTACAGATTCTCAAAGTGGGTATTGATGATCCTCTGGATTTATGCTGGATGTTGTGATTTCACCTTTTTCACTCTGAATTGCATGTATTCAGCATTGCATGCCTTTTCTTTCCTTTTTATGACAAGGTTGGCTAAGGTTTTATTGATTTTATTTATTCTTTCAAAAATCAACTCATCAATTCTTTGATTTTTTTGTATTAATCTCTTAGTCTCCATTGCATTGATTTCTGCTATGATCTGTATAATTTCCTCCATTATATGAGCTTTTTTTTTTTTTCTTGCTCTTCTTTTCCTAGGATCTTAAAATTCACCATTAGGTTGTTTATTTGAGCTCACTCTGTTTTCCTAGTGTGGGCATTCACTGCTGTGAATTTCCCATGTAGAAGTGCTTTCCTTGTTGTGTTCCATAGATTCCTGTATATTGTTTGGCATTATCATTTATTTGTAAAAACTGACTAATTTCTTCTTTAATTTCCTCTGTGACTCTGGAGAGTGTTGTTCAGTTTCTATGTGTTTGTGAAGCTGTTGCAATTTCTTATGGTATTGATTTCCAATATTATCACAATATGGTCTGATAATATACATGGGATAACTTCAGTTCCTTTGCATTTATCTAAACATGTTCTATGAGCTAGTGTGTACTCTATTTTGTAAAATTACCTGTGTGCAGACAAAAAGAATGTATATTCTGATTTTGTGGTATGGAACACTCTGTAGACATCTATTAAGTTCATTTGTTCAAAAGCTTGCTTCAGTTCTAATATTTCATTTTTGATTTTTTTGTCTAGATAATCTGTCTATTTGTGACAGTGGGGTATTTAGGTCCTCCAGAAGATTGTATTAGTGCTTATTTGGTTTTTCATGTCCCTTAATATTTGTTTTATATAGTTGGGGACATTAGTATTTGGTGCATATGTATTTATGATTTTCATCTCTTCTTCTTGGATTGTTTCCTTTATGAGTATGTTATGACCTTCTTTGTCTCTCTTACGTAGTTTTGGTTTGAAATTTACTTTGTCTGCAAATAAGATAGCTTCCCCTGCTTTTTTCTGGATTTCTTTTGCCTGCAGAACTGTTTTTGATCCTTTTATTTTCAGTCTTTGAGTCTCTTTTTGAACTAGGTGTGCTTCTTGCATAGAACATATTGTTGGATTTTGCTTCTTAATCCATTTTGCCAGTGTATTTCTTTTGACTGTTGAATTGATGGTTATAACTGATATATATTAGCTTATCAATGTCATGTTATTGTCCTGTTGTTGGCTTTTAAAAATTTTCCTCCCTCTCCCTTTAATTTCTTGCCTTGCCTAATTGATTTGCACTTTTGGTCCTCATGGTGTTGTGACCTTCATTGTATTTTTCTAGGATATCATTTAGAATTGTTTTGTAGTGCTCGTTTGGTATTCATGAAGCTTCCTAGGTGTTCTTTGTCATAGAAGTATCTAATTTGCCCATTGATTTTAAAAGATAATTTTGCAGATATCACAGTCTAGGTTGGAGTTTATTTTCTTTTGTGGCTTGAAATACATCATGCCAGGGTCTCCTTGACTTGAGGGTTTGTGTTGATAAGTCTGCTGTGGTTCTAATGGGCTTTCCTTTGTATGTGATTTGCTTGTTTTCTCTAATTGCTTGCAGTATTTTGTTCTTTTGGGTTTCAGGAATCTTGACTATTATATGTCTAGGTGTAGATTTTTTTTTGTTTTGGTTTTTTTGAGACAGGGTGTCATTATGTAGTTGAGATTGACTTGTAACTCACTATGTAGCCCAGGCTGGTCTCAAACTCACAGTGATCCTCCTGCCTTAGCCTCCCAAGTGCTGGGATTACAGATGTGTGCCACCATGCCTGACTTTGGGTGGATTTTTTTTTTTTTATCATGGCTACTTGGAGTCCTATTATGCCTCACTTAACTGTATGTCAAATTCTTTTACTCTATCTGGAAAGTTTTCTGTATTAATTCTGTGAACAGTTTTTTAAAAGTCATTTGTTCTTTCTCCTGCTTTTTCATGAACTCCTTTGAGCCTTGTATTATTCTTTACATCATTTAGGAGCTGTTGGATTGATTTCTCATGGACCTTTACTATTTTTTTTTAATTGAGTTTATTGGTACATTTAGGGATACAGTACAGTTACATTCATTGTTGGGATCATGTACCTTTACATGGCAAGTCTTGATTCTCATTTTTTTCCCCTTACCTCTGGCCTTTACTATTTTTAAGAGATCTCTCTTTTCATGGTCACTGGTGGCAGTGCTATCTTCCATATCTGAAATTCTATCTTCACATTCATTCATTCTGTTGTGAATGCTTTCAGTAGAGTTTTTAATCTAGATATCTGTTTGATTCTGTTTCATGGATTCCATTTCTTTCCTGTGTTGGGCATTCATGGCTTCTATCATGGTCCTGAGCTCATCTATTTTTTTGTCTGTTTCTGTTCTAGAGTCTCTAATCATGTCTTTCATTGTGCTCACCATCTCTGTAGTTATCTGGGAAATCATTTCTGTTTTGAATTTTTCTAGAGCTCAACTGATCTGTTTTGTTACTTCCTGTGCTGTGAGTTCAGGGTGTTCTGGTGATTGATTGTCAGACTTTTCCACCTTGTTTACTCTAGAATTTGCTGTTGGTGAGCTGGAAGTCTGTATGTGTACCTTGCTTAAGTGTTTTCTCATTTTTATTTTTGTTGCTGGTACTGTCCTTGGTTTCATTGCTGGGTTAATATCTTGGTCTTCCTGATATTGCTGCTCTTTAGGTTTTGAGTCTCTAATGACTCAGAGACACTCTTATTTTCATAATAAGAAAGGACAACTCATTAAATCAATCACAACACTTTAGCCCAGTTGATACAGTCAGCAACACAATAGCATCAAGCACAGCTTAGAAATTGATCATTTATGGTAGTTATTAGTCTATCACCTTTAACCATGTGAATTAAATCAAAATCGAGGACTAGCCTAAAATATGTTTATAGTGAATAAATTCTTCAATATAGCAACTTTACACTTCAGGATGGGTACTTAGAAAGAATTTTGAGGAGAGGAATAGATAAGTAGAAGGATAGCAGAAGGTTTGAAGTGATGCTAGAGGATATAGTGTGATCATGCAAACTCTAAGAAACTCTTGAAGACAAGAGGGAAAGACAGAGTGCAAGAGCAAAGACAAGAATAGAACAACTGAACAGTAATAGGGAAGGTATAAATTGTACTCACTTTCCTTTGAAACTAATGACAATTGAGATAAGGAAAAAAGAGAGAAGAAAAGAAAAAGAAAGAAGAAATAGGAATTAGGGCAGGAGCAGGAACAAAAGGGGAGATGACAATGTAGGAGAGTAAAAATAAAAATTAAAATTAAGCAAAAAAGAAAGAAAGAAAGATAATTTTAAAAAGTTGAAAGTCCTTCAAGGTATGTCTCTGCTGTCACAGTAGACAAAGTGGGCAGCAATGTGCAGATCTAAGTCAATTTGTCTCAGCAAGCCAGGAGCAGGCCCCTGAGGTTCAAGCTGATTTCTGGCTGTAAGGCCCAAGTTGAGCTCCCTCAACTCCTTCAGGGTTAAACTCTGCTAAGTTCTACTGCAGGTTTTAGCTGCCCTTACCTTGAAGATAGTTCAGGCTCTGATGGGAGGTGCTGATTCCCTCAACTTACCAACTATGGTGGCTTGGTGTGCCTTTTATTGCAATTGTTCACTTCTAGTCTATCTTGTGGAGGTCAGTAAAATGGCCTCCATTTCCAATGGAGAGTGTGGGGTGTGAGGGGGTTGTGATGATGCAGGGCACCAGCACTCTGGGCAATCCTCACTGGTCTACTCTATTTGGAGGCCTGGGGTGCTCTCTTGTCTTTTTTATCACAGTACTTTCACGAAGTTTTTCTCCAAGTTCCTTCAAATATACGGGACAGATTGCCTCTAGTTCAAGGCAATGCCAGTGAAAGTCATGGAATAATTCAGTCTGGTGTGAAAGAGGATGAGTTAGTTATAATCTCTCTTAGGTCCATTCTACCATGAGGATATCATGATTCCATGAAAAGATACTCCTGAGTTTGGTGCATCATGTTAGCTCTTTCTGTGCATTTAGATTCCTCACCTCAAATATTGTTGAACTTTATAAGTTACATTGAGCTAAAAAACAAACAGAAGAGAAAATTCCCAAGCCATGAAAAGACTTAATTCTTTTCAGAGAGGCCAGAAGACCACAATATCAGGTAGTCAGAAACTGTTATATTATCTAAGAAGAGATTAACTCTTAGAAGAGAGAGTAACTTGGAAAGACTAACTTTGAATGAATGTAACAGGACTTTCTTTGGTGCACTATGGCTTTCTTTGTATAGTAACTGTAAACCATCTCAGGGGACCTAGACATAAGTGATAGATGTAGCAATCCATGCCCTTCCTGGGATTACTGTAATTACGATATCATTCAGGGTGAAAAAAACCACTGCCCCTATGGAACCATTCCCATGGTTCCTATGGGAGCCATTGAAAAGAGAGGCTGTGAAGTTCTATGTCACAAGTGATAAGCTTAAATTCAGATGTATTTATTCTTTTGAGGCTGTTTGTTTTTGTTTGTTTTATAGTGCACTTGCTGTATTCCAAGCACATCATTCAATATTGGTGAACAATTGTGAGCAGAGCCAGATAGGATGTTCTCACTTTCTTGAAGTGGTATATT